GCATAAGCCACCGTGCCTGGCCCAAAAGTTTATTCATAATCTTAACAGTGAAAGGCCATCGCTTTAGGCTTTCACTTAAAATAAAAAAAATGAACTCCAAGGATAGTTCTAATAAGAGCCCCTGGAGGAGTAAGTGAATTAACCAATCAGGGAATTAGCTGCTTCCACAGACCTGGTGGTAAGGATGTCTCCCCAGTAGCTAATTTCATCTCAACTTTATCTCACTGTAGAGTCATGGAAGCTCAAATGTTCAAGGACAATAGCTACAAGGAAAACAAAAAGTTTTCATGACTTAGAATGAGATTGGAATGGGAATCAGAAGCAGCTGTCCTCAGTCTGAAGTTGGTTAATTCTGACAGTCACTTTCTTCCCAACCTGTCCCCTGTTGCCCTGAAGCTCTCTCCCTCTTAGACTGTGACCCTGTCTACTTCTGATGACAATCACTTAATCAGCACTTCAGATCGTCGCATGGCTGCTTTTACCTTGGGTAAAGATTCATTTTCCTTATTAACATCACAAGCACCGATTTCTTTCCCCAACCAATTAAAGAGGAAAAATAGAAGGGCCCAGTGCGATACAGGGAAAAGAAAACTGTTCTGACTTGTGGCACCTGGGCAGGTCACTCAGCCTCACAAGGTCCTAGGAATCCAGCCCTTAGGATTCTGAGATGAAATCGGAGGTTAGGACCACATAGATAAAATACACAAGTTGAAATAACCATTGCAGCCCTTACTTACTACCCAGATATCCAACGGTTCACCCAGGGTCGGGAAGTGCCCAATGTGGGTAGATTTAGTCTGCAGGTTAGTTTGTATTATTCAGAGTGGATGTCTGGATAGCCCACGTTCAGGAGATAATTGCAAAAGTCCACAGTTAGCATGTAGCATCCCTCCTTGATACCCCGGCAATGCAAATGTTGGCTTCTTCTTGTATTTTGCCCAAGTGTTCTGCTCATAACACACGCTAACATCTACTTTACCTCTTTATAACATGAGACGCTAATCTACATTTACTATATATAGTTCTTAGTAATATTGACCTATAATTATATGAATTCTATAGTTCTTCCATGCCCTGGCGTTACAGCCTTTGCATGGCCTTTTGCTGTTAGTTCCGCCTTGACGTGATCTTGGCTCACTGCAATCTCTGCCTCCTTAGGCTCAAGCGATTCTCCCACATTGGCCTCCTAAGTAGCTGTGACGACAGGTTTGTACCACTGCACCCAGCCAATTTTTGTAGAGACAGGGTTTCACCACCTTGGCCAGGCTGGTCTCAAACTTCTGTTCTCAAGTGATCTGCCTGCCTCAGCCTCCCAAAGTGCTGGGATTACAGGCATGAGCCACTGCATCTGACCTTGTTCCCAGTATTAATAAGGGGTGATGGTGGTGGTGGTGACAGATGACAGAAACAACCCATTTTAAAATTATGTTTAAAGAATAAACCTCTTTGAACCACACAATGTGCCATCTGATCTATCCATTAAACTGCACATTATCCAAAAATGCTAATGTATTCCAAAGATACACATGAATTGTTGTTGATATATATTCAAAGTATATTTCTTATCTACACAATTCTGTAGATTTTAGCCATGTTATACATTTAACTTTTAAGGAGAATGTTATGTAACAATCATTGCTTGGTAGAATCTAGTCTGCCAATAAGTTAGCTCTCACAGTTAACACTGAAGTGTTATACCTTACATTGAAATCTTTAGCAATCTCTACTAAATTTTCAAATACAAATAATCTGGTCACAAATTCCAGAAAGGCATTAACCAAACATGGGTAGACCTTGAGGCTCCACCTGACTAAGTTTTAGAAGTCTGTGCTTGTGTCCACATCTTTCTTCCTCATCTCTCTTTTTGCTCCTTTTAGTTCAGTAAATGTAATCCACAGGGGCTGATGTGAATTGTTCAGCTGACTATTTGCAATGACTCCAAGAAAACGACCTCGCTATGACCTTTTGAGAATAGGCCACAGACAACCCAAGTGTCCAACACTGACTCCCACAATTCCGCCTTACTCAAAATTTCCCTATGCATTGTTTGCTGCCTGGTACCATTTCATTTTTATTTATTTTCTATTTTCAAAATATAGCATTTGAGGCCATACTTGGAAAGGACTAAAGAGCCCCCGTTTCCTCTGTCAGTATCCCCAAGGAGGAGAACTCATGTGGGCTTGTAAACTGTGGCATTTACTTTACATGAAATGACAGGAGTGTCTGCTCAAACTAGATGACTAAAACTCCACAAAACAGCTCTGGGGGCCAGAGACCGAAAGGCAAAAGATGCAATTATGCATGCATGAACATCTCTCTGGTGTTTGAATGGCAAATCTCACTGATGAAGGTATGCTTGACTTTGTTTTTGAGAAAACCACAGTGAACATAACTATGAAGAGCTGGCACATGTCCTACAATAAAGCCAGAGAGCCCTAATTTCTCACAAGAAAAGGCTTTGGTAGTAAAGATCTTTATAACATATACAGCACAAACTCTGAAGTCACAGGAGATCATAGTTCTGAACAAAAGACTTTCCTGGACCAGCACTCTCTTCATTTTGGGAACCTTACATGGCATATCAATTGACGCTTTCTGTATGTCTCTCAAGAACTCACGTATGTCATCACACAAAGATGTGAAACCTGCACCAAACACTTCAAGTAGCAGAAACTCCTATTCCCCACCCCACCAATTTATCTCACCCAAAGGGCTAGCTTCACTGAAACATCTGTGTTCTCTTGTTGGCCAACATCCTTGCCATTCTCCACTGAGACCAAAGTTGTCATCTTCCCATCTCGTTTTCAAAGGCCTCCAAAGAGCATTTCAGCACATCTACTGTTTTCTCTCCACCCCTACTCTGTGATATCTGGAGTAGAGGCTCAGATCCTTCAAGTCACAACTGGTGTCCTTTTCTTAATGGGGTGTGGACCTGTCTCACGTTTCTCCCCTCTCTCCATCAAGACTTGTGCAATTCAGGAGTTAGCCTCTTTTTTTTTGCTGTAAAGGGCCATACAAGTAGCTTTGTAGGCCATGTGGTCTGCTAATCACTCAGTGCTGACAGGTGGCACGGAAGATGACGAGGCATCCATGAATGGGTGTGGGTGTCCTGTAATAACAGTTTGTTTGTGGTCACTGAAATGTGGATTTCAGTTCATTGTCACGTGCCAGGAAATAGTTTTCTTTGGATTTTTTTTTTTTCAACCCTTAGAAAATGTAAAAACCATTCTTAGCTGGCAAGCCACAGAAAAACAGGCAGCAGGCCAGATTTGGCCCTCTGGCCGTAGTTTGGCGACTCCTGCTCAAATCCATCTGGACTGCCCTCTTGTGAGCTATTTCCAAAGTAAAGACAAATTGCAGGTAGGAGAGAGCCAGTAGGCATCACTGTGGAAACACTAACCGTGCCCCTCTGCCCCCCAGATGTGGGAAGGAGGAGCACAGGGGAGGTGAGGTTGGATTTATGGATTAAAAGAAAGTAGGATTATCTACCTCGAGGCTGATGATTGGCAAGAGCTTTTGAGGGGAGGATTTGGGGCAATGGAGATATGGGGAGGGGAATCTTTCTTTAAATAATACCGGGCATGCAATAGTACAGCAAGAGGAACGCCCCTGATGAGTGGAAGCTATTGTAAGAACTGTCTCAGTATTGGGCTGTGCGCAGCCCTCCCTTGAAAGTCTTCTGAATTATTCCTCAGACTCTGCAGGGAACTGAGGATAAAAGCAGCTGCAGGGGAGCAAGACCTGGAGCGTCATCGAGAGATTGCAAAAACAATTCACTGCCAACAGACTGTCCCAGCAGGGTCCCAGTACCATGGTCATGGCCCTGATTGACATGCTGCCCCTCGGATGCCCAATCAGATGGAACTGAGAGAAACCGAATGCAGAGTCAGTCCACTTTATCTCTGCATAACCACCCAATTGAACAGCATGGGAAACTGTCTGAGCTCATGAATCAGCCCTGCACAAGCTCCTCACCCTGTCTCTCACTCTAGGTGGCCCATCTGTGACTGGGGTTTTCAGGCTGGGACAGAGGGGAGGGTCCTAAGCTTGATGGCTGAGATCAAAGGTAACTTCAAGGGGCCAAACTGTAGTTTGGCTGGAAACTTCTTTGAGAATTTCCATGCAGGCAAGTAGATTAGCCAGCTTGGTATAAAAATGGATCCTAGGCTTGATCTAATTAAACAACAAAAGTAAAAACTGGAGGTAAAATGATGCTCAAGTTGACAACTTTGTCATCTCAAGTGTCTGAGAGACGTGGAAAGCCAAAGAGCATTGGCTCACAGCTCCTCTACCAAAGGGATGATTAGGTACATTTAATCCAGTGTGGTCTTACCCTAAGCCACAATAGTGCCGAAAAAGACAGAAAAATAAAAATGAAGAAACTCCAAAACTATTTCTTCTTAACAAAAAAAATGACCTTTAAGATATTCTTGGTCAAGAAGCTTTTATAGAGGGGTGGCTGAGTGAGAATAAACTGGGACCAGAGGAGGAGACATTTAATGACAGTGGTGGTAATGAGGACTCTCAGGACTTTATGGTGGTACCCGCTACCAACGGAACTCGAGAGTCCTGCCTGCATCTAACCTGGCCTGAAATTAGTGAGTTCACCTTGTTGCCAGCAAGCAGGGATCCAGTGATCCAGCCAGCTGAGAGAGGATTTAAAAAGGGGAGAGTTTCAGAACACAGTGGTTTGGGGTGCTTGCAACCCCCCAGCACTGACAGTTTCCCATGCATGTGCATTTCTCCCTCCCGGAGATTGGAAGTTTGGAGGAGTTTTCTTATCTGCTCTGGTCCCTTTTTCCTTTCAACCCGGGATCCTGGAAAGAAAAAAAAAGCTCTTCCCAATTAGGGACCTCATTTTTCCCTTTCCTTATCCCCTGGGAGATTTGGAGAGGCAGCAGGAAATGTGGGAGAGCACTTGTGTCCCTGAAGGAACAGCCAGTTGCCATGCGCGACCGTCACTATAGATCTACGATTTATGAAAATAAAGCAATATGTGCCTGTTTCGGTGCCTGCCGTTTGCCTACCAATGGTGCAGTGTTCACCATTCCAGCCCTCTCGGCATTCACATTTGCCATCTTTACAGGTCCCGTGCTCAATGCAGCGGGGGTGGCACACGCGCTGGTCACACGCTGCGCCTGTCCAGCCCTCTTCACAGCGGCAGGCTCCCCCGATGCAGACGCCGTGAGTGCCACAGTCTACTGAGCACACTTCTGGAAGAAAAACAATGATTACAGCTCAACACCACAGCTGGTGAAACCCTCCATGGAGTCTAGACCACACACACGGCCGGGACCCCTGGAGCAGGCCCTGAGGCCCAGCAGCTGTTATCTTTGGAAGCTTGTCTCTCCTTGGCTGGGTATCAATTCATTGTCAAATCTTTTTTTCTAGAGAAGCAGTTCTCAAAGTGTGGCCCCTGGACCAGCAGCATAAGTAGCACCTGGGAACTTGTTAGAAATGTAAATGCTTGTGCCCTGGTTGGACCAAGTGAATTAGAGGATCTGGGAGTGGGACTCAGAGATTTTGTTAGAACAAGTCCTCCAGGTGGTTTTGATACTCACTAGAATGTGAGAACCACTTTTCTAGAGATTAAGACCGTTCCAACCAGTTTGGCAAAGCTAACTGGGAAGTACCCACCTGAAAAGATCTGTGTGTGGATCCTGACTCTCTAGCCAGCTGGGATTCCTCCCTCACTGAGAGCCTGAACTGATCAAGCCCAAGAGGTCAGCTGGGGACCCCACTGCTCCATTCCCAAGATGACTGCAGATCCCCCCACTACCCAGATCGGCACCTTGGTGGCGATAACGACCACTGTAATTGTGCTGCATGTACACAGCTTCATTCTCAAAGGAGCTCAAAGTCTTTTGCGCTTGAGGAGGAGACAGACAGACAGATATGCACTCTCTGGCATTCCAGACCTCTCACTCGAGGACAAGCACGTGCCCCACATTCATCCTTTCATCAATCTACGGAGGGAGGCGTGGCTTGGCATGCCAGGGGAAGGAAGACCGGGCCAGGGAGTGGGGCCAGTGATTCTCTCAAAGTCACACTACATATCTGCAGTGTACCTGGGTTTTGGATCTAGGACCCCCGCCTCCTCCCATCCTCTGCATGGCCTTGCCAGGACCATCAGCATCAGAGTTGAAGCCAGAGTCGAGCGGGCTGAGAAGATATCCCAAAATAGCCCATTTTAACTGACTTTTTTTTTTTCTTTTTGGAATGAAATATTCATTTCTTTCCCATGGTAGGCAAAGCTTCACATCTATTCCCTTCCTGATTGCCATGGCAATCTGACAGCTGTCTCACTACCCAGAGGAAGGGGGCGGAATGATCACTTGCTCGGATAGGTGCTTGTCAGTGTGAACAGAACCTTTCTCAGGAAGGTTGGGACCGGCTTGAACTGTTGAACTGTTCCATTTTTAAGGTCACTCTGGAGGGAAGACACACACTCTTAATTTTAGGAAAATGAAGTGTACAACCCGACTTCATTATTTTCCTGTCACTGGAGTATTACAGAGCTTTAGAACATGTTCACGCAGCACCCCGAGGGAGCCTCTTTTCTGTTTTATGGGACGTTCCATTCAGTTTGTCTGGGGCTGAATTGTTCTGTTTTGTTTTCTGGTACCTTTAGGGAATGTACATAAGAAAACCTATAATGCAAATGGAAGCATCCCTCCTGGGCCCCTTATCCATTTGCCGTGATGGAACCAACCCAATGCTTTTTTGTTTAATTGTTTCTCAAAGATCACAGATTCCACAATTGAGGAGAAGAGAATGAGAAAGACACAACGTAATTCATCAAAGTTCCCTTACCCCAAGCTAAGTGTTAAGAGTAGATTCCCATCCATCTGTGAATGGGATTGAACACAGAGCACCAGTGTTGGAGAGAGGAAGGAGAAAACCATGTGGCTTACCGACAGAGCAGTCGGGACCCATCCAGTTGGGATCGCAGCTGCAGAGGCCTGTGTCAGGCAGGTACGTGCCGTGCCCACTGCACTGGTCTGGGCACTGGACTCTTGCCAGCTCACAGTTGAGACCACCCCAGCCAGGGCTGCACAGGCATTCTCCATTCACACAGACCCCGTGGCTGGAGCAGGTGGGATCCAAGCAATCAACTGAAACAACAAGAACAACAACAAAGAATAAGAGTATTGATCACCCATGGAGGATGTGCTGTGAGACACGGGCTTGCTGCTGAATGGACCAATGGGTCACCAGTTCCTATCTACTTGCTGGCAAATGGAGCAGCCCAGGAAATACATGTGTAATCTCCTGAGGAACACCCATAAAAAATAAAAGGCTTCTTATTTTTCAAAACACCAAATCTTGAACTAGAAGAAGATGCAAGTGAAACAAAAAGGGGATATCTCAAGCAGAATTAGGAGAAATCAGATATAGAAGTACGCCATTCCACCTTCAGCATCTTGTGCTTGTAAAGATTAGGACCCTGACCGAATCGTGTCAGAGCGTCTGCGATAGGAATGTGAATCCCTGCCATGTTTCTACAGGTGTCGCCAAGCTGGATTGCCTCTCAAGTAGAGAGGCATATTGTAACTTGACTTCGAAAGGTAACAAATGATGAAAAGGAAAACCAATGAAACTTACAAATGAGTCACTTTCCTAATGAGGTTTCACTTAGGCTAAGTCTAAAATTAGTATTCATTCTCTAAGCACACACTCACTGAAGGAGTTAGTAAATGTGCAGGATAGAAGAGGTGAAGTTGGGTGTGGAAAGGATCCAAAAGAGATCAGCTTCCTATAAATAATCACCAGGGGACTGGACAGCTATCTGTGGCCACGGCACTGACCTTCTACCAGCCAATCAGATGAGTTGATGGTCAGATTCCAGTCACTATGGTTCTTGCCTGTTTCACTGTCTGATTGTTTGGCCATCTTAATAGAGTAGATACACATCCAGTAGGTAACTTGAAGATGAGTAATCAGGAGTCAACTCAAAGTAAGGGGAGGAGTGAGCCGCAAAGGCCAGTTCTTGAGGACAGGACTTTTTGCATGAGAATATGATCTCAAACCTGGGACCTCCATTCAAGCTAAGGGTTGAATAAACAGGGCTTTTTAGAGGAAGCCTAGCTTTCTTATGCATTCTTATGTTTTCTCAGGAAATGACGCAGTGTCATTGGAGAATAGGGTTCTGTGTAATACATGGTTTTAATGAGGAATGGTGGTCTAGCAGAGGGCTCAGATGTTGCTTTGTGGATCAGACAAATGTGGATGTATCGTCACCTTATTTGATTAAGACATATTTCTCCCATTTTCACGGCTTCCAAATCAGGTCGGTTGGCCCAGATGAAAGGATTGCTTCTTCCATCATCTGGGGGCACAGCTAGCTTGAGACCATGTTGAATTCTATTCTTGAGATTGTTATGGGCCACACTGACAATGTTATTAAATCTTTCCTGTGTATGCAAGCCATCTTATGGTTCAAATTCTCAGAAAAAAATTTTGTTTTCTCTCCTTGCACAATGCCAAGATTGAAATATGAAAGACTTCTAGTCTCTAAATAATTCACTATTACAATAAGATGGTAATTCCTCAGGGTCTCAGCTTGCTATAGGATCTCCTAAGACATTTTTTTATGCCAAATGTCTTTTTTTCTTTCCTATGGGGCACAAAATAATAGTTTTTTTTTTTTTTTTTTTTCTGAGACAGGGTCCTGTTCTGTCACCCAGGCTACAATGCAGTGGTGTGATCATAGTTCATTGTAACCTCGAACACCTGGGCTCAAGTGTTTCTCCTGGCTCAGCCTCCCAACTAGCTAGGAGCACAGACACATGCCACCATGTCCAGCTAAGCTTTTTTTTTTCTTTAGAAATGGGGTCTTGCTATGTTGCTCTGGCTAGTTGTGAACTCCTGGGATCAAGCAGTCCTCCTGTCTCAGCCTCCCAAAGTGCTGGGATTACTGGTGTGAGCCATGATGCCCAGCCATTAGTGTGTTTTAATATTGATGACACACTGGCTCTAAATATGACATTATTTAGATTATCTGCCACAAACTAACTAGTCCTGAGGGACATCAGACTTGAGAAATTTGAACTTATTAGAGTTCACAATATTCCATGAAGTTTCCAAAAGGAAGCCCTCCCTTGGAGCAAAAATAATAATTTTCAGTGGTAAGAGACATTTCTCACGATCCCATTTGGATATTCTTAGGAAGATATTTATGGAAGTCATTTCAAAACTGTTTCAGTCATGGGAAAAATATAGTGATTTAAAAATATCGGGGGTACACTCCCAAAGGGTGAATTTTCGTTGCTTATTAGTTGGAGATATTTACGATGATGTTAGATAATCTGGTTATCACTTTATGGTTGAATTCATTGTCTTGGGGAACAGAACTCCTGATGACATAAACCTGTTTGACACTTTGAAATTTGCTCAACTTAGGGTGGCGGAGCACACCTGAACGTAAACTTGAGCTGAAAATGTCAAACATGTAGAAGGCAAAGGGCTGTGCAGGGCCTCTGGCGTCTCATGCCTAGCGCAGCTAAGGGAATATACTAGGTGTTCAATACACAGTTGCTGCAAGAATGAAGGACAGACTGTGCTATAAGCATTTGTCGTCGATGGGACAAACTTCCTGTGTAAAGAAACGACAGATGGGAAAAAGAGATGGTGCTAACAATTTCTTGCTTTTGGGAAAAGTTTGTATTCGGGGATCTGCAAATTACAAACGAATTCATTCAGAACCCATCATGTTGATAGTCTTCCAACAAAGGAAATTCTGAAGTTCTAGTTTTTCACTCTGTCCCCATTTCTAATAAGGCAAAATGAAAATACACACAAAAATATCTTGTGGCTTATTGCTTTAAAAATAGCTCTCAACCTGTAATTAGCCATTTAAAATGTTTGGTGAGGTGCCAGCAGTTGGGAGCTTTCAAAAAAATATATATCACCATCTTTTTCTTAGAAGGATAAAATAATAAAAAGTAATACACTAAAAAAATGAAAATGGCATTCTTCTTCCAGATAAATTAGCTCTCTCTTCTCTATCTTGAATTATGGTGTAAAGGAAGGAGGAAAATCCACAGAGATTTATTAGCGCGGTACTAGAATGCCATCAAAAAATCATTTATTGTATCTAAAAATATTAGCTAACCCCTTTCTCTGGTCAGTGATACCAGTAAATATGCCCTTTGTGCTATATAATTACAGCAGTGGATGGAATAACTAAATCCAGACTTCAAGAGGAGCAGTTTTACTCTGAATTTTAAATTTGGTTCCGATTTCCTAAGATGGTCTTGTGGCCACGTCCTTAGAGTCTTTAGCAGGCAGGAGGGACTATGGCATTTTACAAAGCTTTATAAATAGAAACAGCGTTACACTTAAAAGGGGACAGTGGCCTTTACCAGCTAAGTACCGTGTGCCTCGAAACACCAGCCCCCTGGCAGCTGAAATCATTAGAACTCATTTAGTCTTGGGCCCTCTGTAGGTTTGATAAAAAAGGGTTGTGAATGCAATTTCTATCCCTAAGGATAAAAAAGGAGGTCAAGGAGTTTTACAAACAATATGTACCATAAGCCCCTGAAGAACCATGAATTACATTTATGAAGTTAAATGTCATTGAAAAATGACTCAACCATGAAACTGACATGAAAACATGGCTGACTTAAACTAATATGTCAGTTTCCTTCTCATCACCTTCTCACTCCCCAAGACATCATTAAATGAAACCTCACAAATACAGACTTTCCTTTTCATGTGCAAATCTGTTAATAGTACAACCATGTTTATGCAGAAAAAACGAAGGAATGGCAACTATTGATTTCGTTGCCATGGCCATTTCAGGTAAATTGTTTGAACGTTATGACTGTGATGAATATCAGAAATAAAAAAGCTAAATGGAAGAAAAAGCGCTGATCCAGACTTTCTGATCCCATTTCCTATTTTGAAAACAGCATATGAATCACCTCGGTTCATTCTTTTTGGGCAGCAGAAATCAATAGAGAGATTTCTTCCTTTCCTAATGATTCACATGGCTCGCTTGGTTGGTTGGGTGGTTAATTCGCCCTGAACATTTAAATAAGACTGGGTGGGATAGTGAGAAAGTTGAGAAATCACTTGAGATTCCACGAATACAGCTGTGTATAATCTGTACTGGAGAGACAAAATTCAGAGACTGGCAACGTTTCCCTAGCACTTCCTTTTCTCCAAATGATGCATGCAAAAGGTCGTCTTAACCTTTCCTGTCATATTATTGGCTTCTCTTATGTTTTCAGCGAATGCAGCTTTGCCTCCTGCAATCCATTTATCTTTAAGAACTTTAACCTTTCGAGCAGGGTTATTAAATCAGTATTTCCTCCATCCAAACTCCCAATTTGTTTTTATGATGCAGACATAGGGAGGCTACCTTTTATAATAGAGAAAAAATATATAGAGAACTGAGCAAGTGAAGATCTGGGGGTCAGACTTCTGGGCCCCATTAAGGGCATTACTGCTGATACATTGAGAAATCTTAGCAGCAGAATGTTATGGATGCCGACTTTTGGTAGCCATGGCTCTAAAAACTATGAAATGCAGGGTTTCACAAGGAAACCCTATGTGGGTGTGTATAAGGATAAATGGGCAAGGGGCTGAGAGGGTCTATGCTCTTACCTTCCTACCAGCTGTGGTTCATTCTTTACGTAAATGGTGAGAAGGAATGAATGGACACTTCACTGGGATATGTACTTAGGGAAATGGAGCCTCAGCTGGAAGACAATGATGATGGCAATTCAGAGATTCGGAAATGGGCAAGGGGCTGAGAGGGTCTATGCTCTTACCTTCCTACCAGCTGTGGTTCATTCTTTACATAAATGGTGTGTATAAGGATAAAACACTGTCATTACTTTGTGGTGAGAGCTGTGATGATTGGCTATTTTGTATGGAATTCTGGAGATCCATTAGTTATTGGGATGAAAGAATGAATCCACTACCATCAGAGAACCTCATAAAACCTGAGATCCCTTGTTGGCCTGGCCATGAAGAACACAGAATGCACGTGACATCCAATAGGACCTCTTCTGTGGGGACATCTTGGGTGGTAACCTCAAGGTGTCTCATGAAGAATAGGCAGGGGCTTTGCTTTTTCCCTTAGTTTGTTGGGCAAGTTGACACTTCTGTTTCCACTGGGATATGGGAGGGAAAAGGCTGTTTGAGTTGTATGAGGACATTTCACTGGGAGATGTACTTAGGGAAAAGGAGCCTCAGCTGGAAGACAATGATGATGGCAATTCAGAGATTGGGGAATGGGCAAGGGGCTGAGAGGGTCTATGCTCTTACCTTCCTACCAGCTGTGGTTCATTCTTTACATAAATGGTGAGAAGGAATGAATGGACAACCAGAGACCATATTCTGCCAGGGCAAATGCAGAGTGGGAAGGCTGACAGGCAGCACAGCTTTCTCTTGCCTTATAGCTACTGCAAGTCGGTCCCAACATTTTGGCACAAAATAATTTACCTGAAAGAACTGATCAAGGTAATTAGGACTAGTTAGAGCTGCTTTTGGATTCCCTCCAAAGAGGTGCCCTTTCTCCCGGTTCCTGCATGTCCCCCTCTCATGATCTCCAAGCCTGATCTCTGACCATATTGTCAGATCAAATTCAGTTTATGATATCCCTGATTTTCACCTGTGTGTGCAAGAGGGCCTTACGTGTCTGCCAGGGTGAGATTTTCAGGATTCATCAAATCCCATCCCTCTTGCTGCATCCTCACTCTCCTCCAGTTTTCTGCAATCACAGGTAACCAGGCTAATTTGCCCTCCATGGTGTTTCTAAATTACATGGATACCTGCAATCTTTCAACCCTGACTGTCTACTGATATTAATTTTTGTGGAAATATTTACACAGATGTATATGGGTCTTAGATTAGGCAGTTAGTAACAACAACAGCAAAGCTTTTTGTTTGGAAGGAAGGCAAGGGACTTAGGAATTCTTGGTTCTTTTCTCTGGATAGATAGCTTTAGTCATTCCCAATCACTAAATACAGCAGAAGAAAAGAGGAAGAAAGATAGGGCGAGGGAAAGGAAAAAAAGAGGAAACGAAAGAGAAGGAATGGGAGGAGGAGTAGAAGGAAGGAGACAGACAAAGGCAGAAGGAGCAATTTTAAGAACAAAGGTGAAAGAGAAAAGAAGTTAATTTCTATAAAGGAGAGTAAAACAAAACATTTCTTCCAGAACCATCTTTATAGGCCTTTCTTGTTCTACAGCTAAAGAAGTTTATGAAAGCGAAGGAGTTTGAAGATTTTTGTGCAAAATGTTGATGCTTCCCTTGCAAAACACACAGCCTGGGACTGGGCTCATTAGCAAAGGTCAGGCCCTGCAAATGCCTCCCTCCACTAATGCCTAGCCTGGGGCCCGGCGGGCTTACCTTCCTCACAGTGCTCGCCTTTGTAGCCAGCCGAGCAGACACAGTTCCCATCAATGCAGGAGCCGTGGCCCCCGCAGGAAGGATCGATGCACTGATTCATGGGCACGTCGCACTCTGCGCCTTTCCAGCCGCTGTAGCACTGGCACGTCCCTTTAGAATATTGTCCATTCCCACTGCACAGGACAGGGCAGGCAGCTGCACAAACCAAAGATAGAGCACCAGGTCACGAGGGGCTAGCATCCGAGGGGCTGTGGCAGTCTCAGGAGCTGCCTCGTCTTGGGGCTTGGCTTTCAGTGTTCTAGGCTGGGGACTCTGTGCAGAACCATCACCAGATAAACAACACAAGTGCTACTGATAACTGCAGCTACCACCAATTAAAGGCTTGTTATGTGCCGGGCACCGGATAGAAGGCTTTATGTGCAATTCATGACTTCATCATCCTAATCACCCTATGACGTGGAGGTTACAACATGGTCCTCGTTTTTGCAGGTGAGGCTCAAACACCGGGGAAGCGACGTGTACAGTCACACAGCCCATAAGCAGGGGAGCTCAGCTGGGAACCAGGTTGTCCCAATTCTGAAGTGGCGCCCTTCGCTAAGCGACACTGACGTCCTTATTTTGTTCCTGTTGTTGGTATTGGGGGTCAGAATCCATTTTGCTGATTATTTTATCCTCAGACCGGTTGACCTTACTCCTAATAAGTTTATGCCTCTTTAAAAGGAAGCGGGGACGAGACACAGCTGAGCCACTAAAAGTCCCACTGCATCAGTTTTCTTATCTATACCATCAAGAAATTAAGTAGTCCCCTTTATCCGCGGTTTCACTTTCAGCTTCAGTTACCCGCGGCCAACTGCTGTCTGAAAATCTGTGAGTACGATACAATAAGGAATTTAGAGAGACACAAATTACATTCACACAACTGCTGTTACACCTACTGCTTTAATTGCTCTATTTTATCATTATTGTTAATCTCTTCCTGTGCCTAACTTATAAATTCAACTTTATCCTAGGTTTATATGTGTAGGAAAAACACGGTATATGTAGGGTTTGTGCCACTTGCGGTTTCGGGTACCCACAGGGGGTCTTGGAGTGTATCCCCTGAGGATGAGGAGGGATTACTGTCATTGTGCCTCCTTCAAAGTGTAACATGCGTAATAAAGTATAATGATTACATATGCTTGACTTATTTAAAAAAAAGCAAAGGTGCAGGCAGGCTGAAGAGATGAGTTCTCTAGCAGTTCACCTTCAGCTGTACCCTCTTCCATCTGCTGGTGGGATGAAGGTTGGAAAATCAGTGGGGATTGTCTGGGAGGAGATTACCTACAGTTTTAATCAGTTTAACCTCAGATGTGCCAATTCCGGCCTTTCAGAGTTCATCAAGAATGGGATTTCAGTGGTTGGTCTCCTTCAGGTACTGGGCTTCTCACTTCCGCATCAGTTTATAAAGAACCTAACTTTCCAATCTGTCTTCAAATTTGGGCCTAAAATCCTCCGGCTATGGAACAGGCATTTAGAGGCCTTCAGAAATGACGGACACAGATGTTTCAGTGACTCCTGGTGCTGTCCATGGTTTGGAATGCACAGGTTCAGAGAATTCTACACGTATGTGAACACACATCTACGACCCGGGAGAGCTCCCTGTGCCTCACAGCGATGGCATAACTAATCATGTCACTTCTTAGTCACCTGTGCCACCCAGCCTCATGAATCACCTTTTGTTGTCATGTTTCGATTTAGTTTTTATGATAATTAACTTTGCCCTGTGCATGTCTAATTTCCCAAAGATATAGTCAGCTATTCAAGACAGGGACTATGTTTATCATTGTTGATTTCCTTCTGTTGCTGCATTCATCAATGGTGGCTTGATTAGGTAAACATTTCTCCTGTGTTCCTGATATTCAGAGATTCCCCAGTGATGGGGGGTTGTGGGCAAGCACTAAATGGCCGTTTATGAAAGATGTAGGAAGAACAGTCCCTGGAGCGAATCTCATGCTGTAAACGCAATGCCTTTTTCTGGGGAAGTGATGTTTTACCTTAATTGCAAACTAATTTGAAATAGAATTATCTCAATAGTTGACATACGATTGAGGGGAGATTTCCCCTCAAAATGCTTTATAATAGGACAGTTGTCAAAACTATTGGAGGTGCTGTTTTCAGTAGAATTCCTATCCTTATGAATCTACCAGAGAATAATGAGTTGAAAAGTGAGGACTTCAAAGTCACGTATTGAATAGAGATGAACTCTAAATGTAGGGAGCATACTCTCTAATTCCAGCATGCTTAAACAGAGGAGTCTGTACAGAGTTGCTACGGAGGCTAATTGTCTAAGAGAGGGTAGAAAAAGAAACTTGAACCCAGAGTGCCCGAGATTTAAATTAGGGATCATACAAATACGAAGTAGCACAAGAAACTCTGGACTTTCTTAAAGTTTTGAGAGGGATTTAAGACAGAGTAAGTTCGTTCCACGCCAGTTCCTCATGAGACTCATGCTCAGCTGTAGGTCAGGGATGGCAAGTGTGTGCACATGAACTATGGTACTAACTTCCAACACCTCTGCAGACATCATTAATTGATCACGGCATCTTGTTCCCCAGAGCCTAGATGGAGCCTCAAAACTGTCAATGCAGTGCCTAGGCTAAGACCCGCAAGCAGGCAGAGTTGGTATTCAAGAGAAAACCTGCTTGTCATTGCTGATCTAGGTAACACAGAAGGTATTTCCTGGTGGGAAGGCTAGAATCAGCATCACTTCTCAGCCCCTTTCCAGCCCTGCACTGAAATAAAAAACAGTGAGAAGTATGGTTGCACAATGTGTAGTTAGAAGGGCTTCCAAGGACTGTTTCTGACCTAAGGGGGTTAGATTTTGGATGGGCTGTCATGGATGGCAGAGAAAGCTACATCAAATCACCAACACTGGTCTCCTATTACATCCTCCTTCCTCCCAAATGGTGGAGGAGGGTAGAAAGTAAGGTGAAAATAATTTTTTATTGATTGATAAAAAATATAGATAGGACTCTTTTCTTTTTCTTTTCTTTTTTCAGACAGAGTCTTGCTTTGTTGCCCAGGCTGGAGTGCAGTGGTGCAATCTTGGCTCACTGCAACCTCCTCCTTCTGGGTTCAAGCGATTCTCTTGCCTCAGCCTCCTGAGTAGCTGGGACTACAGGCATGCGCCACCACGCCTGGCTAATTTTTGTATTTTTATTAGAGACAGGGTTTCACGATGTTGGCCAGGCTGGTCTCAAACTCCTGACCTCAGGTGATCCATCCCCCTTGGCCTCCTGAAGTGCGGGGATTACAGGCGTGAGCCAGCGTGCCCGGCTGCATTATTTTCTTTATTCATAGTGACACCGTTCCTCTTCTGCATAAACTTCAAGTAGAAAAAAATAAGATTGTCTAGAAGGTAAGAATGGGTTTTATTTAAAACCAGGTGCTTGGGAAATCAAATTTAAAAACTGACCTACTTAAATTACTCGGTGAAAAAAATAAAAAATAGGTCAGAGAGTTCTCCACCTTCCAAACGCAGCCGTACTTCAGGGTTTGCCGCATGCTCTCTGGGAGTGTGGTCAAAAATGCGAAACACTGTGATGTTCACTGGAAAGCAGGACACTCAGTGAGCTTCACTTAATGCCATACAAAGACGAGGAAAACAGTTCATTAGAGGAGCGAGACTTTCTAGTAATCCAGTTGCCGTGGGGCAGAGTGCAGAAAGACCAGACGAGCTCCCTCCAGTGGTGGCTGGGGTGTCCTGCATGGAGAGCACCTTCCCTTTGGAGCTACGGATTCATTCTCAGATACAACTCAACCCAGAGCATCCCAGTATCTAAGGCTCAGGCCAATCTTTATTCAAGAGGTGGATATGAAATGGGGATCCTCCTGTATTCATACGTCTTATATTTTTAGTATCATGCAACCCACATTACTTTTTATGACAGGTTATAAAAAAATGACACTGCCTACTCTATGCCAAGAAGTATTACGGAGCAGAAGTGGAAGTAAGCAAGGGTTTTGGTGCCAGAAAGAGCTGGGTTCGAAACCAAGCCTGTACCTTACCAGCTGTGGGATTTTGGCAAGGTTACTGAAGCTCTCAAAGACCCAATTTCCCCTTCAAAAAACTGTCTCTCAGCATTGATGGAAGGATTAAGTGAGATAACATGTATGGCTCACAGCAGTTTGACACTTGGTAGGCAAATTAGCCAATGCTCCCTTGTGAAACTTCAAACTGAATCTCCAATCGGACTTCAAGAGCTAATAAAATAAAGAAATGCCATAGGTCCCAAATGTGCACACACAGACACTAGCAACCACCAGTGTGTCAAATAACACTAATGGAAAGATTTGAGGTTTTCTTCTTCCATTGTTTTCTGGTGTGGGAGGGAGTTGGTTCTGATTGGCAAGGTTTGAAAGTGGAGCGTTTTGTGTCTCTGTGTGTCTCTCTTTTTCCTAAGGCTTAGGGGAGCAGAACATTGAGCATTCAAGCTTCTATTTAAAATTAATTAAAATGTTTGTACAAATTGACTATTCCTGTTTTACTAAATCTAATAAATGGAAGCTCTAAGACTCCCGCAGAAGAAAAATAACTTACCACTACCACTAACAACTGACAAGTTAACAGGTTGATGACACAAAAATGACAGAATTTAGATTCACCTAAATGGTATGAAGCTCATTTTAATGATCCAGCTGAAGCTACTCCCCCCGCCCAGCCCCCACAAAGTTCTCTGTAAGGGATGACATGAATTATCAGTGTTATTTACTCAGTGGGAAGTAACAGGATAAGCCACCTGTCCACTTGGAGCTTGCCGTAGAGAGAATACCTGGAGAAAAGTTAAGAATGTTGGAGAGGCTCAGTCATAAAAACAGAGGGAAAAATGTCTGCATCTGCACAAATAATTTGTGGGCTGGACTAGATCTGTAGAGGGAATTTCAAATAATGTATTTAAAAATGATTTGAAGTCTGTTTTATAGTTATTTCATTATTATTATTATTTGAGACAAGGTCTTGCTGTGTCACCCAGGTGGAGTGCAGTGATGGGATCACCATTTGCTGCAGCCTCAAGCAATTGTCCTGCCTCAGCCTCTTATTTGCGACCACAGGTATGCACCACAATGCCCTGCTATTTAAAAAAATTTCTGTAGAGATGGGGGTCTCTTTATGTTGCCCTGTCTGGACTCCAACTCCTCAACTCAGGTGATTCTCC